AATAAAAGGAATTGGTGTACGTCTTTGTGTGCTGTGCTCCCCGTGCCATGAAATGTCCATAACACAGTGTAGTATTGAAATCCTGGGAAAGACTTCAAGTTGCTGCTTCTCTACATTCATCTGGGTCACAGAGAGGATAAGGCAACTATAGGACAATATTCCTTTTTATCTTGCTATTACAAGGCAGCATACTGAAAAAAACACTCAGCTGCACATTAAACATTTAAATATTTAGGAAGAAATGAATCACTTGTGGACAAATACATCAGTCAGCTCGTTCTGAAATCAAGAGGTGACCACTAGGAAGAAAGTAGAAGGAAGGTGTGGGGCACTAGGTCCCTTATTGCACTGGGTATTCCCAGTCAGGTCACAAGTAGTGTAGAGGGAATGGTTACCCTTTGGCGGCTCTCCCAGCAGTAGTGGCTGAAGGTCTACCCTTAGCTCAAGGACTAGATGTATAAGAAGAAAGCAGCAGAACCATAATGTGAAAAGTCCAGTTTCAGTTTTATTTAGAGTCTTGTATCATAGAAAGCCAATTCGTTTCTGAGTTTAAAGGGCCCCTGTTCATCAGGGCTTGACAGTGTTTAATAAATCTGTAAAAATAAATCAAAGCAACTTGACTTTTTGGTTTTTTTTTGTAGACGTTTCACCGGTCATCCAACTAGTCAATTCAGAATTGAGAATACTAGTCAGATGACCAGCAAAAGGTCTTCAAGAAAAAAAACAAGTGTAGTCGCTTTGATTTATTTTTACAGATATACCATGACCTGGATGAATGAGAACCTTCACAGACAGTGTTTGATAAAGGGGTATTGGACTGGTATAATAGGAGGGATCCTGAGGGGTATAAGTATGATCACACTAGATGCTGGTTGGGCATCTTGTGATTCTACTTATACCCCATCAGCATCCCTCCTATTATACCAGTCCATTACACCTTTCTAAAACACTGTCAAGCCCTGATGATGGGGGGCTCTTTAAATGCCAAAAATGCTTTGGATTTTTTGATGAAAGATTCTAAATGAAAGTAAATCTAGACTTTAGGCACTCCTGCTGGCGCTTTCCTGTTTGCACATCTAATATCAGTCATTTTCAGGTCACCTTTTCCATCACACACAGAAAGTTGATTTTTCTATACGTATATATCCAGGACTGAGGGCTTAGGTACACTCTTACCACAGGCCTGCACTCTAGGATGCCACTACAGAGGGTGCAGAAGCAGCATCCGCAGCTGGACCTGCAAAGGTGTGTTACACAGATTAATTCAACGTTTTCTTCCTTCTACAGCCCATTTTCTGTCCTGTTATCTGCGGTCTAAACTTCTAATGAGCTATAATTGAAATAAGGTGACATTCCAATTCAATTTAATAAAAATGATACCTTGAGTGCTGAATGGAACAATCAAAGGCTTTTTTGTATGAAATAGGAAGGAGCTTTTCATTTCAAAAACTTTGTGGCCTTCAGTTACCCCCCTGCACAAGCTATCTAAATCTTTGACTTACTATCAGTCTGTCCTCTTATAATGCACTGTATTCATTTTTAATGAGACCCTAGGTTGCGTTTTTATTTATAGTTGCCAAATTGCCAAGTTGAGGCCAGCAAGCCGGATAATAGACAACTGCATATCACAGCTGGTAAAACCAGAACATGATAACAGAGAGGGTGCTTATAGCGATCAGATTAGACCGCATTGGCTGCTGTGGGAAAGAGGACAGTTTTTCTTTTACGTTGGTTTGTATAAGTGCTGCATAGTGCTATCATAACATACAACGGGCAAATGTGATAACACGAGATTAAAAAAGCTCTACTGTATTGATTCCTTAAAGTGACATTAAACTCAGGAGTTAAATCTTACAAATGCATTCACATACCTCAACTAGGTATACAAGTGTATCTTATTTGTGTATCACTCGGCTGTAGATCTTCAAATCATCTCTGAATTGGTGTTGACACTGTCCTTCCTTCTAGAGGGGGGCTACTTTTGTTCCCCATGGTCCATGTGTGTGTTGTAAAGTAGTCACCGCTCCATGCTCGCTCCCGTGATGGAATACAATCTCATATTTAGTGTATTAATTCGCATTACGATTGTATTCTATCATGGGGGGGAGCTTGGAGCTGTGACTACTTTACAACACACAGGGACCATGGGAAACAAAAGTAGCCACCCTCCAGAAGGAAGGACAGTGTCAGCACCAATTCAGAGATGATTTGAGTATCTACAGCCGAGTGATACACAAATAATACATTTTTGATAACAAGTAAGGTACTTGAATGCATTTTTGAGATTTTGGCCTTGTTCACACCAAGCGCGTTTCAGGAACAGAGCAGAGCAGTTACAGACTGGAGCAAAACTGCGTCCAATGTATTCCAATGGTATTTTTAGCTCCAGTTCACATCGCAGCGTTCCGTTCCAGAGTAGGTCCAGAGCAGGTAACACAACTGCAGCAGGCCCTATTTTACCTGCTCTGGAACACATGCAAACGCATCAAAAACGCATGCAAACGCCCTGGAACACACTGAAAGCCCATTTTAAACTAAACTAAAAAAAAAAAAATTTAAACCAAAAACGCCCCGGTACGCATCAAAAACGCGGCACAACCCACTGCACTGCGTGTGCAGAAACTCATGCAGATCTGTCTGCATTTGGTGTGAACAAGGCCTTAACTCCTGAGTTTAGTGTTTCTAAAGCTAAAACGTTTTGGTGGTATGATAAAAGCTTACAATCACTGTCAAGTTTTTGTTTGCTATAGACAAATCCATCCAGCACCTGACCCTAAACACCACTGATAGGGCACATTACTGAGTATATGGGGTGCTGACTTTTCTGTTTTATGAAGTTTTTATTGCTGTCTGTGTACTCACTAAGGAGATTCACCATCTCTATTTTTCCTGGTGCCCATTGAGTGAGGGAACATCCACGATTTTGAGTTGTCTGTCATTATGATATAGTTTTAAATATGTCACATAAAAGATCTTCATAGTGTTATACAGCTAACGACACAAAATATATTTTGTCTTTTAATTTGTGTTGCCCTTGCCAAGCTACAAGCAGGGAAATATAATTAGTTTTGGAGCCTTTTACTTAAATCTGCAATGGCTTTGAAGAAAGCTGCATCGAAAAGGCACTCTAGGCATTGCTCTATTTGGGGATGCTGCAGGTACCCAAGTTGCTTCCAGAGTGTTAGTTCAGAGTGTCAGTTCACTACGATGCAAGTTATTTCAGTTGTGTTTGTTATTTTATTGCATTACCAATTTTTGCATCAAAACGTCCAATATAAAACTATAACTATTACACTGATGCACAAGTATTATTTCACATGAAATGGTTATTTGAAAAGTGCAAGCCTTTGTTTCTGATGAATCTGTATTTTATCTCACAAAACAGTGCTCTTTCTTCTGTCCTCAATAGACACCTCAAGGAAGGTCTTGCCTCAGGTCTTGCCACCGCACCAAGCTCCCCTCCCTCCCAACTCTTTTTTAAATTCCCTTTATTGATACTTTTTTTGAAACTGTCTTCTGGAGGGTCACTTCCTGGGGTCCTTTTTCTCTTATTCTGGTGTTGGCTATGGGTGGTCCTCAATACCAGAGATGTTAAGGCTAGATTCACACCTAGGCGAATGAGCTGGTGAGCTGTTTTCATGCGGTTGTCACACGTGTTTGTTTGCGCAAATTTGGTTTGTGTCAATCGCCCAAAAAAAGCTCCTGCACCTTTTTGCGCCACAGGCGATTTATACTGCGTGACCAGTCACAAAGGTGTGAACAGCTTTTATAGGCTTGAATGGAAACCTCTATTGTGTGAGATATTGCACGGCTAAATCTGCGTGACAAATCCCCTAGGTGTGAACCTAGCCTAAGATGTACAGCTCTCTACAGCAGCCATGGCCGATATAGTAACACACCTCAAGGGTGTGTGTCCAGGACAGTCTGAATTCACAGGGAGTGGGTTGAGAAACACCAGCCGTCATTCAACCTTGATGAGGAGCACTACCTAGTAGCTGAGTGGACTCTCTGTGTGGGACAGAGCTGTATTAAATGGGAGTATTGCACTGAAAGCTGTATTTTTCATTTTACTGAGTTCAAAGAAATTGAATAAAAACATCATCATGGAATTCTACTTTAATGCCAGTCAGGAGATAGAGATTTCTCGAGGACAACTCATTTTTGTAAATTGTTTTTAACATGCATAATATGGAAAAATAGATATTATAGCTTTCATGCAGCAAATCCAGCTAACCCTTGCAATAAAACCTTTAGAAAAGGAAAAGCACTATTTTTTTTTAAAGTAACAGGGTTGTTCACAAAAGGGTGAAGAGTTTGGAGGAGGCAGGAGAAGTGAACAATCTAGGACAACATAGCTGAACTGGAAAGTGAGCTGAATTAGAGAATTTTTCTAAATCAGCTATTTTGGCCTAGATTGTTCACTTCTCCTGTCTTCTCCAAACTCTTCACCCTTTTGTGAATAACGCTGTAAATTTAGCAAACAAGCTACTGTATTGAAAATGGTGCATACGTTAGACTTTAGTGAAGTGACATTGTAGTGTCTAATAGAAAAAGCTGGGGGCAGTTTCTGGCAGGGTTATTCACAAAGTTAGGAGAAGTGAACAATCTAGGCCAAAATAGCTGATTTGGAAAAATTATTCTAATCGGCTCACTTTCCAGTTCAGATTTGTTGTCCTAGATTGTTCACTTCTCCTGCCTCCTCCAAACTCTTCACCCTTTTGTGAATAACCCTGATAGTATTTATTTGATGGTCAGTATTATGTGGCAGTTGGATGTTGTAGCTGTGTATGTTGGCTCAGTGTGGTCCTCTCAGGAGTAAGTAGGTGCTACCCCTGTCAGAGATATAACGTGCTCTAATTCTTGCTTTTAACATGTTTGCCCCCTTCCCTCAATAACACATTGTTTGCCTATAAACTCCTTTTAAATAGATTAATTTCTTCATTCATAAACCAGTCACTTTCTCTTCCTTGTCCTAATTGTTGTGTGTTATACTTATGCAGACTATTCACTTCAAACACTTTTGATGCAATCAGTGATGATGCATTTTCTGGTCTTCCTCACCTAGAGTACTTGTAAGTATGAGCACCGAGCCATTACCATTCTTATAACTCATATACACAGCACTATGTATTTACCAAGACAGCAGCCAGGCTGCTTCCACTGTTCATGTCTTATTCATGGCTGCTTTTTCATTCTTAATGCAGATGACAGAGAATCTGCAGCTTGTAAATCGATCACAGTGGAAATGTTCAGTTAACAGATAACATTGAAGATTTTGTTCTTATATGTCCAAATTCTTAACCAAATGGGGTCTCATGCATAAAAACTGCAGAGAAGGAAAGCATCAAAAGCACAGATCATCATGCCCAGATCTTGGAGCAAATGACATCATTGTAGTTTTATGATGTTACCACACTGCCCCACACAGATGGAGCAAAGTTTGTGCTGTGGACATGGTAAAGACAGTTCCTACATTTACATACTACATTAAAAGGGTTAGACAGGTTTACCTGGTGTAACATATACAAACAGCCCAACCCCACTTTAAAACATATCTAAGCCCAAAAACAAAAATGTAATATCTTGCAACTCACCAATCCTTAGATGTAATGTAGAACTGTTAAAAATCTCAACATGTTGAATGCACTGATATGTTGGCTGTAGTGACCGAGCGGTCTAGTGATATAGATATATATGACGTTTTGGAGTGCAAAGTCTTTATTGGCTGTCATGACTGTAAAACACTTTCAAACATCTGTCCCTCAAAAAGTCTTTATTTCTGTGAACTTGGGACATCCATATATTATTAGTGCCATTTGGGCTTTGCACAACCCCCACTATGATCCCAGAGCAATAAAAATCTTCCCTATAGAAGAAGTATATAGAGGTTCATCTTCCCGTCACCATAAGTAGGGCTCTATTTCCTTGTAGGTTGAGGTGCAACATTGAGAAAATGATTGTTACTATGGTTACCGCCTTCTCTTTCATCTTACTACAGTTTCTATACATGAGGCCCATAATATCCCATAATTCAGTGCTCTTATTTGAGTTATGTAGTTGATAGTGGTGTGTCTTAAATGAAATGCATGCTGCCTTCTCTCCTGCTCCTTGCATGTCCCCCAAGCCTTTTAATTATTTTGCTGTGTCCCTTTTATACCCATTCAAATCAAAGCTTCTTTTGTGTATTAAAAAATAAAACCAGAACAGGTCATCCAAACATAATGGAGGCAGCCAGAATGCAGCATCCGTTCTCTAGGAGATACAAACATTAGTTTGGTACTTAGTGCCTCCCTGATGGTTCCGATCTCCGGGAGTTGACAAGCTGACCATTTGTTCAGTTTACAAATTGGCCGCCTCCATTGTGCGTGGGCAAGTGGTTAATTTTAATCACTGTAACTCATTTATCATCTCTGTAACACAAAGCATAGAAATGTTGTTAAAATGTACATGGTTAACCTCTGTCAACAAGTTATTCTTTAAGATCATATAAAGATGTTAAATATCATCTATAGATTGTAGAAGAAGGTGACCAGACTAGGATCTTACCGCCATGTTCAGGATTGGGAAAACCTACTGATTAGTTCTGAAGGGCATATTCTCCCAGGAACTCTCATGATATGATAGATAAAGCTCACTGCGGGATAGTAACGTTTTTGTTAGCGCATACAGCAATGTATAGACGCAACCCCATATTCAGTGGGTCGCCGCATGCTTTCCACTTTTCTAGGTGAGAGGCTCATCAGCCTCCCCTAGCGCAGCACTGTCAGTTCTTACACTGAGCAGCCATTCAAAATATGCACTGGGGGTATGGTTGCAAGGGATCTCCATCCATACATGCATTGCTTATAGCTCCCTTACATGTCCTGTAGCGGTGCCTAAACTGGAGTGACATCACATTCTGGCTCCCAGCACCTCTACAGGCGCACATGGGAGCTGTATAACCAATGCACATATGGATGGAGCTCTGTCACAGCACAGCAGCCCACACTGCCGTGCGTACCATTGCAGTGCAAATTGGATCTTAACTTAATGACCGAGGACAAATGTGGGTCCTGAGGTTACACAGGTTGAGAACCACTGGTATAGACAGTACTTATGACACATGTACTGGTGTCTGTATCCAAGATGAGTTGAGGGAACCTATAATCTTAACTGGAACTTTCTACATGATGTGACCCTGAGAGTCTTCACTACGTGATGCCATGCTTACTGGTTATATGGGTCAGTGACTGTATTGGCTTTATAAGTTCAGTTTGCAGTCACTGCAAGGATTTGCAATATTTGCTTTATATTTAAACTGTTTTTAATGAGTGATCTTAAATGTGTAACATCTGTCATTTCTAGGAGCTGTCATCAGAACTGATAGCAAGCTAGTATTAAAACAAACATTATATTTGCTAAAAAGATATACACAATAAAGCAGATATGTAAAACATTAAGAAGAAAACCCTGACAAAAGTATACTTTTGTAGAGCACTGTCAATAAAATAAGATCACAATGTTTCACAGTTTGCTCTTTATTAGGACACTTTTTATAATCTTCTGTGGAATGGTGCATGCTCCACCGTTTGCTGAATGTCGCATTCTCCGTTTGGTGACTACAGCGAACATCCCAGTGCATTATGCTTTAGCATGGCTGCTTGTATTTCCAATTGGAAGTGCACAGGGAAGGGTGACAATGCCACAATTAAACTGAGAAAGGAATGTTACCCTAGAAAAGGATGTGCTTGTGGATATACTTTGCTGCTAGTATCACCAGGTGTGATTTAAACTGAAAAAACAGGAAATATAAAAAAGAGTAAACTTTTTAACATTAGAGGAACTTTTTAACATAGTCAGCAGTAAAGATATAGTTTATATAAAAGTCAGTGAAAAGACCTGGGTGTCTCACCTGCAATTTAGGAAGTAATCCTAGAAATTGTGAGGATACCTAAGATCATGAGTGTCAGTATCATATCCTGAGGGTTCCTAAGTATGCTTTTCAGCGACTACATTTCAGTTTCCCCTCCAAACCTCTGCAAAACAGAAGAAACCACGTAACCACGCTTATCAGGGAAGATGGTCATGTTTTGTTAACCATCGAGCTTATATAATAATGCAGTCCAAGGAGTAGTGATGTGCAAAGTGCAGTGGTCCACAGCAACCAGTCAGATCTCTAGATCAGTAATAGTTCACTCCTGACTGATTTCTGTGGGTTATTGCACATTATAGTTTGCTTTCCTGAATAAGCTTACATGTGTTCTGTCCTATTAACAGACATGTGAAAAGATGCCATTTTCATGTTGTAATAGTAGAATAATTATACATTGTAGATGTTTCTATGTGGGTGGCATAGATTTGTAAATGCTTTAACTTGTATCACAGGCTGAGCATTAACAGCTTTTTGTCAGTGATGATCTTGCCATATAAACAATATTCATATTTGTCTTTTAGGTTTATTGAGAACAACAAAATAAAGTCCATTTCCAGAAATGCTTTTCGTGGACTCAAGTCTTTGATTCACCTGTAAGTATAAAATTAGATAATGAGTGTCTGGAGTAAAAATAACATTGGTCCTAAATAATCAGTCAGCAGTCCATGGTATTTGCTCTAAAGATGGCTGCCATACAAACACAATCCTTTGATAAGGAGTAAAGCAGATTTACTTACCTGATCCCAGCTCCCCCTGCAGTTGGTGCTCTGCTCTTCTCCCCTGCATTCCTGTTGGTGGAATGTCCCTCGGCGTCATCACGTCAAATGCAGGTCTTTGAAGCCTGCATTAGACTTGGTGACATCAGCAGTCCTTAGACAGAGCCCAGGGAAAAAAGAGGACGCAGGGACCAGTCTAGCAACCCTGAGGGAGCCTGCTTCACTCCAGCCCCTAGACATAACTGAGCACTTAACTCTTGGAATGCGGGGGTAGCCCCACTGCAAGGGTACTTTTTTTGGTTTGCTCAGCGATGGGCTTGAAACCAGAGACCTAGAGCAACAAGTATGGTGTAAATAATTGTCAGGAAAGTATCAGAATTCCTTGCCTCTATGCATGTTTTGGGTCAGGGACTCAGACAGCTTTGAAGCCAATGCATCAGCATGACAGCCTGGAAGCTAGGATTCTGAAAAGGAGAGTTCAGCAATGGCAGCCTCCATTATTCTGTCATAACAGATTCCCTTTAGCCAGTGTACACATCCACTTTCAGTGTTTGTTAAGTAAATGGGAGCCGGTGCTAAGAGAAATATAATAGCTGTCATTGCTGGCTTTGTTTTGCAAATGCTAAGTGCCTGGCTGTCATGCCTTCTAATGACTTCATCACTTTATGAGCCATGTACCCAGAACATGCATGCAGATCTATTTTGGATCAGTGATTCAAAATCACTGACTTAGACTATCAAGTGCCAGCCCTCATATTTCTCTAGGGTTTACTTTAAACAGTGGCTTTTCTCCATTAACTCTGTATTATAAGCAAAGACAAACTCAATGTCACACATTTTCCAACCTGTCCTGTCTCTTGGAAAATGAATACCAATATAGCAACATAACGCCTCACCACCATACATGGTGAAGTTGACAGAAAAATGTTTCCTTTTATCTCACAGTCTTTTCTCTAGTAGATCCAAAAGCAGCAATACAACTGATCTGAGCCTTGTGAGAAGTTTCCCAGTTGTTGGGTAATCTATGTGACTGATAAGCAGTTGTTGCCTTTACAAAGGGAGCCATTCTTGAAATACACATGTGCTGCATTCTGTGCCAGCTGAGTCTGGGATAAAAACTTCAATGAGTTTCAGCAGTGCACAATCTTAGAAATCACTGCCATCCATTCTTAGACATGCTGCCTTTTCAGATCACCCAAGGATTCCTTAGTAGAGATGAGGCTGGACTTGGTACAAACCCAATTCGCTTGAATTTGCTCAAGCCCTCTCAAAACTCTGATCGCTACCCCCTCCTACCGATCCAATCAGTGTTGCCAATTGTGGCGGAGGCATTCCCTTAACCCCCTTGTGATATATTGCTGCAGGGCAGGGAATGCAGTCCCCACAATTAATTTGGTTGGGATGAGGGGAGTGGCGGTCAGAGTTTTGAGAAAACTCAGGTGAACTTCACACGGAGCCCAGCTTCAACTGCTACCTGCTGTCTGCAGGGAGATGATCGGGAACTGTGTGATAAGCAGTATGTGATCGCTCGGTTCTCGATCAATAGAGCCGAGGTGTGACATCTTCAGTGTCACACCTCGGCTCTAATTATGGGGACAAGTGTATTTCACTGTCCCCCTCTTACTCCTTTAAACCTGCTAGGTATGTAAAGTGGTGACAGGGTCGCTTTAAAACGGCAGAACATGCCAATGCTTTCAAACACATTGAGGTCCAGCGGTTTAATCTGCAATTTATTTGATTATGACTAATTGGATTGTTGTCATGATCTTGTTATACTCTCCGGAGATGAACAAAAACAAGTGCTTGTAGTTAACTCTGCTGGAACGTGAAGGATGTTTTAGAGCCAGAAATGTCAGATTTCAAAGACAAAACAGCTTCTACAATTATTGGCAACAAATTTGGCCCTTGTTAGTTCATCTGCATGCCTAAAACATAGTAAGCAAACTTTTCTGGTGCAAACCACATCTAAGATTTCTTCAACAAAGTGCACATGGTTTTCAAGAGGCGTTCAGCTATGCGTGTGGGGGAAGTTATATATATTCCGTACACAAGGCTGCCTTGTCTTGTTTGCCTACAGAGAATTGCATGGGTGTGTAAACAACAATAGAACTCTTATCGTAGGTTTATAGATCCAGAATAATACAGGATGGACTAAAAAGACTAGAAAGAAACTGCATGGCCTCTGGTCTCCAGAATAACAATACCCTGGATCATCTATGAGGGGCAGCAGAGTACACCACATAAAGACCATACACACAAAGACTGGACTTGTTTGATTCTGGTTCACACACCAGTGGGCAGATCGTCAGCCATTTTCGCGATTTAGATGCAAAAATGACAGCCATTCAGATCATATTGGGGACAAACATACACAATGCCTGAATACATTTGTAGTCATTTTCAATTCCATTTAAAGAATATTCTCAACAATTAAATAGGAAAGATTCTTTGCATACAATAACTAAAGTTACCTTTATTCATTCTTCAGTATATGAACGGACATTGCTAAAACCCATCTTTAGCTAGATTGTTATTTCTTGCACTAGTTCCCCAGGCAATGTGGGGGAAAATACACTATATTGCCAAAAGTATTGGGACACCTACCTTTACACGCACATGAACTTTAATGGCATCCCCGTCTTAGTCCGTAGGGTTCAATATTGAGTTGGCCCACCCTTTGCCGCTATAACAGCTTCAACTCTTCTGTAAAGGCATTCACAAGGTTTAGGAGTGTGTCTATGGGAATGTTTGACCATTCTTCCAGAAGCGCATTTGTGAGGTCAGGTAGTGATGTTGGACGAGAAGGCCGGGCTCGCAGTCTCCACTTTAATTCATCCCAAAGGTGTTCTATTGGGTTGAGGTCAGGACTCTGTGCAGGCCAGTCAAGTTCCTCCACCCCAAACTTCACCCATGCCTTTATGGACCTTGCTTTGTGCACTGGTGCGCAGTCATGTTAGAACAGGAAGGGGCCATCCTCAGACTGTTCCCACAAATTTGGGAGCATGAAATTGTCCAAAATGTCTTGGTATGCTGATGCCTTAAGAGATCCCTTCAACCGCTGAAAAATAACCCACCCCATAATCCCCCCTCCACCAAACTTTACACTTGGCACAATGCAATCATGCAAGTACCGTTCTCCTGGCAACCACCAAACCCAGAAATGTCCATCGGATTGCCAGACAGAGAAGCGTGATTGGTCTCTCCAGAGAACACGTCTCCACTTCTCTAGAGTCCTGTGGCGGCGTGCCTTACACCACTGCATCCCAGGCTTGGCATTGCACTTGGTGATGTAAGGCTTGGATGCAGCTGCTCGGCCATGGAAACCCATTCCATGAAGCTCTCTACGCACTGTTGTTGTGCCAATCTGAAGGCCACACGAAGTTTGGAGGTCTGTAGCTATTGACTCTGCAGACAGTTGGTGACTTCTGTGCACTGTGCGCATCAGCATGCACTGACCCCGCTCTGTCACTTTACGTGGCCTACCACTTTGTGGCTGAGTTGCTGTTGCTTCCCCTTTGTTATAATACCACTAACAGTTGACCGTGGAATATTTAGTAACAAGGACATTTCACGGATGGACTTATTGCACAGGTGGCAACCTATCGCGGTACCACGCTTGTAGTCACTGAGCTCCTGAGAGCGACCCATTCTTTCACAAATGTTTGTAGAAGCGTCTGCATGCCGAGGTGCTTGATTTCATACACCTGTGGCCATGGAGGTGATTGGAACACCTGAATCCAATGATTTGGAGAGGTGTCCCAATACTACCTTACCTATTAATAAAAATCTATCTTATTTGTGTATCACTCGGCTGTAGATCCTCAAATCATCTCTGAATTGGTGCCGACACTGTCCTTCCTTCTGGAGTTAACAGTTAAGGTACTTGAATGCATTTTTAAGATTTAACTCTTTGGTTTAGTTTCACTTTAAGCATTTTAGATGGATTGGCATACCTCCCAAGGCACTGTTGTTAGATATGGATGAGTACCAGGCTGTTTAGCAACCATATTGCCCAACCTAGTGCCAGCAGAAGGGGTTATGTAGAATGTACCTTCACCCAAGTAGATTACCACTGCCTGACTTACGTACTGCTAAGAAGGCCTCGAAGACTCCTTACCATATCACCAATATATGCTTATATACAAAAGATTATAAAATAAAAGTTATAGATTTTTGTAATGTTGTAAATATAACTGGATATAACTGCTGAAGGACTTCTCTACAGCGAATTGGCCAGGATTCCAAGCAAGGCAGCAAAAGCTCCCTCTTTAATCCACCCGCTAACAGGAAAAGGGGTTCTGTGCAAGTAATGATTTTAAGAGTACAGGGGAATCCAAGGGAGGGGTCATCCTGGGGTTCCTTGCTGGCACTAACTTCAAAATTTGGTAAATTATGAAATACGAGAAATGATGAAAGTACTGTGCATGTGAAAGATGTCTTTATTAATATCTCAGTCCACATACAGTGCAGTGTTTTCACAGTGAGAGATGTATTTCATCTTCATTAATCTATAGTGGGGTGTGTGTGCCCCCTCTTGTGGTTACTCAGTGATATGACACACAATTTCCACCAGAGACACTTAGCGTTATACTGTATATGAGAAGACTCATTAATATACCCTTACAAAAGCACAAAAACAGAAGTGAAAAGTGGTAGACATAATAAAATAAACAAATAGCAATATTAAAAATAGGAAAAAAGGCACCTACACAACAATATGTACTAACAAACCGATGTTGGCAAGGGTACATCACAGTGTATGATTTAAATATACATACAATTTTGTTGAATAACAAAAAAAAATCTGGTTTGTTGATACCGAGATTGGCCACTCCATTTCACTTGCTGAAATGAGTGTTAGGTGGATGATTGCGCCTTTTACTGTAATCACATGATCATTTGCAAAAGCAGCCACCCTCCAGAAGGAAGGACAGTGTCAGCACCAATTCAGAGATGATTTGAGGATCTAGAGCCGAGTGATACACAAATAAGATACATTTATGTTACAATAGCTAAGGTAGTGCTGGTGCCAGTCTCTGATCCAGCGCAGACTCCACGTGTCCCACGCTATCTGTCCAATGTGCATGCTTCCAGCTGCGAGCATTTATCTCCACTGTGTCTCTCCTCTTCTCCCCGCCAAAGATCTTTATAAACCAGATTCCCATTAAAGTCAATGGGGCCTGTTTACACCTTTGTGCAAAAAGGTGCAGGAGCTATTTTCGGACGGGTTGTCGCGCAGTTGTGGCTCAATAGACACCTCTATACATTGAAAACCCACGCAGTTTTCAAAGCAAAAATGCGCAAACACAGTGCAGTCACAAATCACAACAATCACAAATCGCAACATGTGGAGGTACAGAACTATTAACAAAAAGGTGTACAAATGTAAAAGTTTTAGGTGGTGCAACACAAGGGTTGAATCCACCACCAGGTATTTTGCTGCTGTATCTGATCCAATCAGAGAGATATTTCTACACCAATGGCCGTACTGTGACAGCCAGACATCTGCTTTAAGCTGAGCTTCCTGAAGTGAATACACCGAGAATTGCATTCTCTATGTATTCCTTTGTGTAGTCCACTAAGGGACCCATAACATTAGCATTTTCTTGTCCACAAAGCCCTGTAAATGCCCTTCAGACTCAGATACTAATAGCCCACTTTCAATTAGTAAAAAAAAATTTGATTAAAACAAGACTCAAGCAAGACACAAATATCATATGGGTTGGCAAGGGTACATCATATGATATTTGTGTCTTGCTTGAGTCTTGTTTTAATCACATTTTTTTTTACTAATTGAAAGTGGGCTATTAGTCTTCATTATTCACAATAATGAAGAATAAAAATCCTTGTTAGCACTTCAGGAAAAAAAAAATGCATACATTTATGTGCCTCTAGCATTCATCCTGCTTCTCTGGGTTTTGGAGAACTTGCCGGCCATTACACACAATGCAGTGCCATGCAGCAGAGTAGCCTGCACATTGCTGATTGGAAATGTGCCCTTAGTTTAGGGGAGCTGATTTGGTAAGCTCTGCCGGAGCTCACAATGAAAGAAAGACCGGGCCAATGTACATGATCTGATATAAAGGAAGTCAGCTTGTTTTAGCATGATTCCGTTCACTTAATAATGAAAACAGAAAAAACATGAACACGTGGAAATTAATCTTTTGCTGAATCAGACAAAAGAACAGAAGAGTGTATGATCCAATTAGATGCGCTGGTTGCTGCCTCTAATTATGAGATGTCATTGCAGAAGACATCCGTCCATACGGTATAAATAGGGCACTGTGAAGCTTTTTAAGAGTAGTCATTTTATCAGAGTAATTGATATCCCCTATCAGATGAAACATATCTGTATACTCATCATCATATCAATTTTTTCATGACAGTTGTCAGAACGAGCCTTGGGTCGGTGTGACCTTGACATGACATTCTAATTCTGCTTGCTTTACAGGAGCCTGGCCAATAACAATTTGCAGTCTCTTCCAAAAGACGTCTTTAAAGGCCTGGATTCACTGACCAATGTGTAAGAATGACAGAGACGTGTCTAAAAAAACATTGTTGTGCTGTAAATGAACTGCAGAAAGGGGTATGGTACAAATCTCACTTTCCATTTGAGTATTTTGAACCTCAGTTGTGCAAGTTGATTGGTCTAGAACGGGGGTAGGTGAACCTGACACTCCAGCTGTGCTGACAATACAAATCCCAGTATGTCTCTGCCTCTGAGAGTCATGTGTGTGGCGGTGGTCAGAGTCTCGCAATGCCTCATGGGACTTGAAGTTCTACAGCAGCTGAAGAGCTGAGGTTGCCTAGGCGTGGTCTAGAATATGTTGCTTGGTTCCAATGGGCATAACCAACATTTTGCTTTTGTTGTAGTTTTTTTTTAGCCTCTGATTCTCTAATATACTCCTTACAGGGTAACTGTAGAAATCTGGTGTGGGTGGACTCTGGGTGGGTGGCAGTTTCTGGCCACTCTTCACTATATAGGAGTGACCTTTTACCAGTGCCTGTGAAAGTAGAGTTGCCACCTTTTTTTCAAGCGAAACCCGAACAATCTAGCAACGCGCGGGCATTTTTTTGGGGAGAATGAGTTGCGGCGTATTAATTTGTAAACAATGCCACCCATTCATATGTAAATATCACAGTTGAGACTATTTTCAGTGGGGGGCCAGTAGCCCCTATCTTCATTTTGGCAGTAGTAAACATCAAGCAGTGTATTGAACCCTGCCCCACTCCACCCAAAAATAGAAGATCTCTTTTTGATTTTTCATTTTCTATAAAGCTGAACTCGGGGCAAATATAAACACACCAAGTTAACATAGTTATGTATTCAATAAAAAAAAATGTGTTTCTAGATGCAGTTAGTATAAGAACTGTTTTATTTTTATCAGCCTCTTGTCTTCTTTTATACAACAGTATTTAAACTAGGAGAGGAAGGGGCAGCACTAGGAACCAATCAGTGCATTTCAACACAAAAGGAACATTCTGGAAGGACATTCTACTGCTGCTCCTTCACTGTCCAATCAGAGGGTTGGGGGCAGGGAAGTGACCAGGCAGCATTGCTTAACTGCAACAGAGAAAAGTCAGGTCACAAGGTCTGCGCTGTCTGGTAGGACTGTGTAACTCTCAGGACAGGATGACAGCAATACAAACCATATATGTAATTAAAGTGTGTACTTACTGTATCTGTTTGCCTGGAGTTCATTTTTACATTGGTTATGTCATTAACATAAAAACATCTGCTTCATACAGGCGGCAAATTAAAGAAAGGGGTAAATCTTTGGTATCAGGAGATCGGGTTGGTTCTATGAGCTATAACATTTTGCACTGGTTCTATTTGTGTTGAGTTATTAAATGTGTCTGAAGAGGGAAGACTTGTGTCTGTGCGAAATCTATTATCTCCGGGATGTTTTGCTGGAAAATCCCATCTTCCTCTGACATTACCGATAATCCCCAGCTGATCCGGAATATTAAATTACACTTTTATTTCATGCACAAACAGTTTTCCTTCAGACTTGTTTAACGGAAACCCTTAATTAATTTTGTGTCTAGAGAGTTACTGGAAGAGGAATTCACATGAGGAGCCGAGTGATGGGATCAAATCTGAGCAGTGGAGGGAAATGGACAGGTTGATGGTTAGGATCATGGTTTGTTCCGGTCTCCTGCCTCAACCTCAATGCACATATACTGTATTATAATTACACTTGTGCACACTATATGCATGGCGAAGGTCCTGTTTAACTATGGCTTTTAAGGCCAATCAATAAAGTCTTCCATATAGAAGCAAGCTTCATAAATGATTCCCTTTTCCTTAAAGGAAAACTGTACCGTGAAAAATATGTAGCCTTTCACTCCTGCCATGCTGACCCAGAGGTGGCAATGCATTTGGAATCGCTGACCCAGAACAAGTCGATCGGGAGTTCTAAACTTCCTTTGCTGCATACTAGGGCAGTACAGTGGCTTAGTGGTCAGCAGTTCTGCCTTGCAGCACTGAGGTCCCTGGTTTGAATCCTGGCCAGGACATTATCTACATGGAGTTTGCATGTTCTCCTTGTGCTTATGTGGGTTTCCTCCTACACTCTAAAGACATTATTATTATTATACAGGATTTATATCGCGCCAACAGTGCTTTTCACCCACCTCATAGTTCTAGCCGACCTGTGACATTGAGACTGTCACAGGTCGGCTCAGTAGATCGGGAGGTGAGCGAACACATACCGGGTTCGCTCACCTCTCGATCCTGTCACGGCTCTCTGCCGTGACAGGGGAGGGGCTGGATTCCCCCCTCCCCGCTCCGATCTGCCAGCGCTGACTGGCGGAACGGGGAGGGGGCGGGTACAGCTGGCTCTGCCTCTAGATAGGCAGAGCCAGCTGTCAGTCACGCAACTGGGCGGATCCCGGCACAATTGCGGCTTCTTGGTATACCGCGAGCAGCAGCTCGCAGTATAATGCGGCGTCTCAGTATACCGCGAGCTACAGCTCGTGGTATATTGAGCCTAGGGTGACGGGAGGACGCTAGTTTGTGTCCTCCCATTACCCTAAGGAGAACTATGGGGAAAAGCATTAACCCCATAGTTCTCCTTTAATGTTTGTGGTTTTTTTTGCATCAAGTGAAAGATATTGAAACATTAGATCAGAGGTGTCAAACTCAAATACACAGTGGGCCAAAATGTAAAAAATTTTCCAAGTCGAGGGCCGGGCTGGTTCACACAGTATAATACAGGGGCATATACAATATATCACACAGTATAATACAGCGGCACATACAGTATATCACAATGTATAATAACAAAGCCTGTACTTTTAATTATTAAAAAGCATGATACATAATTACAATAAAACATTTTTTTTAAACTTTTTTATGTACTTTCCCTTTAAGAAATAGCATAAATATTTAAATAATAAAAGCCAAAAACAGACATTAAATAATACAGAGCATTTACAACAAAAGAATTTACTTACGAAAACGTTTTTCCATCTGGTGCCCGCTTCTGTGTATTCTTCCCCTGCTTTCTCTCCGCATTGAGCCGGGGAGATATCAGTGGGGGTCAGGAAAATCGTCAATTAGAGATGTTTTTAAAAATAGTTTTATCTCTATTTAAATTACAGTAAAAAAAAAAAAAGATGTTAGGACTGTGGTGTGGGCCTGAAGTGACGAATAGGACCTCCCTTACAACCCCGTCTGATGACCACTGGGGTTGAGAACAGTAGGTTCAGGCAGGGGGTGCACGGGTGCCGGTTGGCAGATGTTGAGGTCATGAGGATTACTTGGTGACCTGGCAGAATAGCCGTCGTGCTTGAAGGGTTCAGCAAAGGGAGCGTAATACACAAGCCGGGTCAATAGCAGGCGGGCAGCAAGGTACAGGGGGTTAACCAGAGAGAGGTCCAGAGACAAGCCGGGTCAGTAACAAGCGCGCCATATCGACGCGATGACGTCACGCCGCGTGGGGCGTGACCTGCCGGGCCTTCTGGCGTCTGCGCCTTCGCGGCCTGGACGTGCCGGTGGACGCCCTCTCTGTCAGCGTCCCCGCAGAGGGACTCGGCATCTCCCGCGAGCAGGTACCTGACAGATATACTGACTGACAGTGTCACAGCACAGTACCTGCAGGCTGCAGCTCTCCCGGCTCTCTGTCCTCTGGGTTGGATCCTGATTCCCGCCAAGGAGCACCTCATGTCACCTTGACTGGACCTCGGGCCAGATCTAATGATAATTAATTATCATCAGGCGGGCCAGAGATGATTCCGTCACGGGCCGGTTCTGGCCCGTGGGCCTTGAGTTTGACACATATGCATTAGATTTATGATCAATGGTTCATTCAGGGGATATGTGTATGACCAGTGTTAGGCTTCATTCACACCATCCTCAGTGCGTTCTGGGTTGATTGTGGCCAGAACGCACTGGATCACATTGCGGCCGGCTCAGTTTGTTGCGGGGGCGGGAGGGGGTGTGGCGGTGCAGTGAAGTGAATGGCACCACAGCCACGCCCTCTGGCAGCAATGTGATTGGAACGCAAGACACATCAATGCCTGCGGTACGGTCCTCTCAGAAAAAATAGTTCCTGCAGCATTTTTTCTGAACGGACTACAGGCATTGATGTGCTTTGCGTTCCCGTGTGGCCGATCGCATTGCAGCCGCAGGGCGTGGCTGCGGTGATATACGCCCCACAACAAACTGAGCTGGCTGCAATGCGATCCAGTGCATTCCGCCCACAATCGGCACGGAACACACTGAGGATGGTGTGAACGAGGCCTTAATACAGCTATGTATTTTTCGCATAAGGTCTCGTTCACACCTAGGCGTATTGCATATGCGCGTCTGTCGCGCGACCGGCGCGCGTTTTTTAACCGCGATTTGCGGTAAAAAAGTTGCGCGACAAACGCGCGTTTCCGAAGGCTACTTGGCTGTAACCCAATGGAAACGCGCAACAAAACGGCCCAAAGTAGTACATGTAGCTTTTCAGGCGTGGGCCGTTTTGTAGCGCGTTAGGGACGGGCGGAAATACGCCAAGGTGGGAACGAGACCATTGAATACAATGGGATTTATATTTTTGAGCGTTTTGTAGAGCGTTCTTTGAGCGTAGAACGCGCTACAAAACGTTCAGGTGTGAACGAGGGCTAAGTGTCCCTAAAATTGCTGTTTACATCGCTGACAGTCACCGCAAACTACAATTCCAAGTAAAGTGTCTTTGTTTTATGTTGAACAGCCCCAGTGCATGATGTTCTCATCATAAAATGTATTGTTGATCTTTCATGGACATATTTTATCAATGTGCCAGTTATGTCCCTGAACTGCCCTTGTACTCATTTGGCTCTATATTGTGCTATTTACAAAAATATAATCCTGAAGGACATTCATAAAAGTGAACGAATAACAAAGAATAAAGAAATCTCACCGCTCCAATTCCTTAGCCACCATCAGGACTCCCCCGGTGCTGGTCTAATAGGTGCGTCTCCACCTTGGAACGAGTAGTATACGAACAGACCGCACTATCCAGAGAATTCCAATCCTTCAGACTTTATTGAAAGTCACAGCAAATCCAGTATATCAGTGTAGGTAACAGAATGACAAAGTGTCGTTCACAGCGCCCAAATAGATGCTTTCTTTGTCTAACTTGCACAAGATGAGGGTCAGAATCTGATTGTCTACTATGAACAGCTTTCCCAGTCCTCCTTTCCTTCAGGATTTCTACATCAGCTCCTTAGGGCTCATAGACATGGGTGCAATCATATACTATATCTATGCAGAATCTTGCTGGAATAAAGCTCCTACATTAAAAAAAAGCCATGTAATGGACCACAAAGTTTTTCAGAGGCATAAACATCCATATGGGCTCATGATTATGGGCATACAAATGCTGCATTCAGATCCTTACAGCCTATGGTTTTTATTGTATAATATAGGTCCAGATACACGGCTGCATTGTGCTCAGTCATCTTGTGCTACATTCAGCTGCCTAAAATTAGGGTAGAAAATTCTGCATCTGCAGTCAGTATCTCTGCATAATGTACACGTGTACGCATGTAAGAGCGCGTACACAAAATGACATTCAAAATTGAGCTAAATGAAGGAAAGAAGAATTCTATGTATGTGAACGTTTTATGGCCATTTACATGTCTAATGAGTAAAGACAGAAGCACTCTACAGACCATTACATGCTTTCTTCCAGCAAGATCCTATGTATATATTAGTATTTTATGACGCCCATGCGACGAGCCCTAAAACTTTTACATTTGTATTCTTCTTCCATTCTTCTAGCTCAATTTCAGTTTACGCATGTACTGTATGTGTATTTACATGCATACATGTCTGAATTATGCAGCAATATTGACCACAGATGCAGAATTTTCTACTTTGGTATTACACAGCTGAACACAGCACAATACTGAGCACAACACAGATGTGTGTATGGATCCACAATATACAATACTGCGGCAATCAGATCCATAAAAAAACTATACACTGTACAGAGCTGAACACAGCTTTTTCTTACACCCGTGTGCATGAACCCTAATACAGTGTATGTTTTTACAGAATAAAGTCTTCTTTATTAAAAGTCCACTTTTGGCTACATTCTGGTGGTTTGGTGGCCTCTGATTGTTCTCTGCTTGTTTGTGTTTTAGAGACCTAAGGGGAAATGCCTTCCATTGTGACTGCAAGCTGAAATGGCTGGTAGAATGGCTGGACAAAACCAACGCCACGGTGGAACAAGTTTATTGTGAGAGCCCACCCGAATACAAAGGACGGAAGATCAACAGCCTGTCTGCTAAGGACTTTGACTGTATAACCACAGGTAAATGTAGCAATGAACATTAAAAGTGGCACATTTCATTTGTATATGCTTCTATTGCTGACAATCAAAATGCATGGCAATGGGGTCAAGGGTTTCACTTCTACTTTCATTCGACAGCGTGCATGGGGAGAGGGGGGGCGGGGGGGGGGGACAGAAGGGAAAAACTA